AACAACACAGTTCTAATTTATGCCTAGAAACACAGAAAGCCAAGCTTTCAATATTTCTCATTGCATTTCTTCTTTTGTTTTGTCAGCTCTAATGAGTTATAATTTATATCCAGTAAGTTATCATTTTTAAGATTACAATTCCATGAGTTTTGACATGTATACAGTAGTGTAATCACCAACATAATCATGATATGTAAGGGTATTTTCATCCTCTCCAAAATTTCCTCCACAGTTCATTTCCTTTTCATATCCCTGGGCCCTAGAATCCACTAATTTGCTTTCTATAATAGTTTTGTCTTTTCTAGGATTTTATATAACTGGAATTATACATAACTTATCTTTGCTGTCTAGTTTTGTTCACTTTGGATAATGTTTTTGACATTCTACTTGTATGGATCAGTAGTTCCATATTATTGTTTTGTAATGCTGTTGTATAGATATACCATAATTTGTTTGATTATTTACCCCTTAATGGTTTTATGGATTATTTTCAGGGTTGTTTTTTTTTGTGTGTGTGTGTGTGATTATTGCATTGCACTAATGAAACAGATACGTTCTCCTGAAAGATTGCTTATACCAAGCACACTTTTGCCTGAAATAAATGTATGTTTATGTTGGGGAGAAGTAATCGATCTTCACTTAAAATGGTGTGGTTTGTGGTTGAGCAGCCATAAGTTGATTCTCAGTCAGGGTACATGCCTGTGTTGTGGACTCGATCCTCAGTAGGGGGGACATGCAAGAGGCAGCTGATCAATGATTCTCATCATTGATGTTTCCATCTTTCTCTCCCTCTCCCTTCCTCTCTAAAGTCAATAAAAAATATATTTGTAAAAGGTAAGTATAATAGCAACAACATTTTTAAGAGCAATTTTATGTTTCCAGCAAAATTGAGGGGAAGGTACACAGATTGCCTATATACCCTCTGCCCCCACACGTATATTACCATCTCACACCAGAGTCATACATTTGTTACAACTGATGCACCTACACTGACACATCATCATCCAAAGTCCTAATGTAAATGTAAAGTGTGGTGTTTGTAATTTCTAATTCCACTTGTTCATTGCCAGTGTAGCTGTAGGTTTTTTGTAGGTGTGCTATATCAAGTTGAAGAAGTTCTCTAGTTCTTTTCTTTTTAATCTTTATTGTTGAGAGTATTATAGATGCCCATTTCCCCCCTCCATCCTGCCCCAGGCTTTCACCACCCTACTGTCTGCATCCATAGGTAAGATCTTTGGTTAATCTCTCCCCATCCTCTCTTCCCTCTACCCCTTGAGATTCTTCAGTCTGTTCCGAGCTCCCCATGCCTTTTATTCTATTTTATTTATCAGCTTATTTGTTCATTAAATTTCTTGTTTGTTTATTTTTATTTTTAGATTCAATTATTGATATATGTGTATTTGTTTCCTCTTCCTCCTCTTCCTTCTCCTTTTCCTCCTCCTCCTCCTTCTTTTCTTCCTCTTCTTTATTCTCCTCCTTCTTCTTCCTCCTCCTCTTCCTCTTCCTCTTCTTAAAGATTATCCTTCAATACTGGTTTGGTGGTGATGAGCTATTCCTTTTTATCTGAAATTTGGTTATAAATGGGTATTGGAATGGTCAAACATTTTTTTCTCCATCAACTGATTTTCCTTTTCTTTAATTAACTATATTTTTATTGATTTCAGGGAGGAAGGGTGTGATAGAAACATCAACGATGAGAGAATCATTGATCAGCTGCCTCTTGCACGCCCCACACTGGGGATTGAGGCTGCAACCCTAACATCGAACCTGTAACTCTTCAGTCCAAAGGCTGACTCCCTATCCATTGAGCCAAACCAGCTAGGGCTTATCTTTCTTTCTTTTTTATTTTTTTATTTTTATTTTATTTTTATTTTTTTTTATTACGTTTAATTAATCAAAAGTAAATGGACACAAATAACATCTTTTACTTAAGAAACGATTTTTTTCTTTTTTCCTCACTTGATTTTACCTTTGCAATTATTACATTTTTCAATTTCAATCATCATTATTACTACTACTATTTTGCATTTTTTGTTTCCTTTTTTTTTTTAAGTACCATTTTAATTTCTTTGGCTCCCTTTTTAATCAGGTTGTTTGTTATTGTGGAGTTTAAAAAGTTACATTTATATTTAGGCTGTTGGTATTAGGGTTGTGCTGGTCCCATAGAATGAATAATTTGGGAAATACTTTTTCTACTATCCTCTGAAAGACATTGTAGGTAATTGGTATTATTTCTTTCTTAAATCTTTCCCAAAATGTACAGGTTAACCCATCTGGGCATGTTGTTTTCTGGTTTTGAAGGTTACTAGTTACGGATTTATTTTCTTTAATAGAAATAAGCTTATTAGGATTGTCTTTTTCTTCTTGTGTGAGTTTTGGTTAATTGTGACTTTCAGGGAATTAGTCCTTTGTCATACTTCTAGTTTCCATAGAATTTGTACTGATGAGTGATGTCCTTTCTTTCATTACTGATATTAGTAATCTGTGTCCTCTCTTGTTTCTCAAAAGAGAAAAGCTTGTTTATTTTATTGATCTTTTCAAAGTCAATTATTTGTTTAATATTAACAATCTCATAAAATAATAATTTGTTTCTTTTGTGATGTTCCAAGGCCAACATCAAATTTATCTATAAATTTCAGTGGTAAGTTATAATTTTAATCCTATTATAAAGTTAATTGCTCATGTCTGTGTTAGGTGCAGTGCTAAGCTATGGGATGTGCCCTCATATTCTTCATTAAGGTATAGACCCTCATAGTCTAGTGTTCTAAATGAGATTATGTTAAATTTGTAAGGAAAATAATAAACCAACTAAGTGCCCAGTTTCCACAGGCATGTAAACTATTTTGGTTAAAACTGAGTATCTTAGATGATAGATACCTGTAATACCAATTAGTTACTTACTTTCATTAACTTGTTAACAATTTTATTAAGTACCATTCATGGAGAAGAGGAATAGAGAGGCATACCCTGAATCTGCATTCAAATTCTAGATCTATCCCTTAGATTAGCTGCCTAGCCACTCTGAGCCTCAGTTTATACAACTATGAAATGGGGTTGAAATGACACTCAGTGTTGTTATAATGAATTATTGAATTGTTACATGTATAATAGTTAGATTATTGCCCAGTATATAGCAGACTTTCAATAAATATAATACTTATATTGTTCTTACTAAACATAAAGTTAATGAATAGGATCAGGACCTGCAAGAACACCAGAGGACACTAGGTGGCAGCGCTGAGGCCCTGTTTTCACATTCCTAAAGCCCCCTGTCCGTGCCTGACTTTTACCACCTTTACCACTTACCTGTCATGTTCAAATTATGAAGTTTAGGAGCTTTCAATTAGGACTCTGGACTTGTTAGGTCACACAACTCTACAACTTACAAGATATGTGCTTTTTATAAAGTCATTTAATTTCTCTTTTTCTTTTTTTTTTTCTTCCTTTTTTTCTTTTATGTCAAAGAGCCAAAAACACTCTTATTTATTCAGAGTTTTTCTATGAGGGATAAAGAAGACTTGGGAATGTGATTTCTAAATCACAACTGGTTATAAAAGTATTAATTGTAAAAATATGATCTGTTTTTGAGGTTATTGTTGCTTCTTTAAGGTCTTAGGGGAGTGATGAAAGAGCTCTGAGTGGAACAGAGCTGTTAGAAAGTAAAAGTGTCTTAAGAAGTACAAATTGATAGTTACAGAAGAGTCATGGAGATATAAAGTACAGCATAAGGAATATAGCCAATAAAATTCTAACAACTCTGCATGGTGTCAAATGGGCACAAGACTTACTGGGATGATCACTTAATAAATTATGTAATGTCTAATCACTGGGATAGGGTATATACCTGAAACTAATATAATATTGTATATATGCCGAAGCTGGTTTGGCTCAGTGGTAGAGCGTCGGTCTGCGGACTGAAAGGTCCCGGGTATGATTCCTGTCAAGGGCATGTACATTGGTTGCGGGCACATCTTCAATAGGGGATGTGCAGGAGGCAGCTGGTCGATGTTTCTCTCTCATTGATGTTTCCAGCTCTCTATCTCTCTCCCTTCCTCCCTTTAAAAAATCAATAAAATATATTTAAATATATATATATTAAAAATATATAATATTGTATATCAACTGTAATTTAAAAAAAAAAGTAGAAGTGCTTTCACAATAAGTGATTCCTTTGGTCTTGGGGATTAGACACTGGAAAGCAATGCTAGAGTGATGGCAAAGAGGTGAAAAGGCCCATGAGAAAGGTTTATCCTATGAAGGTTCTAGGTGTTAACTCATCAAAAGTTGAGGACCTATAGGGTAGATAGTGTGTCAGATGGGAAGATGCAGTAATAAAACAACAACAACAAATAAGATCCCATGGAGCTTATATTCTGATCCCATGGAGCTTATATTCTGGTGGGGAGTTCAGACTATTAAATATATATATATTAGGTGATGATCAGAAGAAAAATCCAGCAAGGAAATATCTCGGAAGCGATTGTATGGGTGTCTGAGCCAGCTACGCTCAAAAGAGCAAACTCCTCTGATAATGGAACATGTAAGGAGAGAGTTGAATGAAGTCAGAGACATGCAGACATCAGGCGAAGAGTCTTCCTTGCAGCAGTAATAGGAAGTGTAAAACTCCTGAGGTAGTGGCCTTTTGTTTTTGGTACTTTAATATTGAGAGGGGTTTTGGTGAACTGAGAAAAGATCAAACAGATGGTGGCTTACACAGGCCACTCCTCTCTGGGGCCTCAGTATGTCCATCCATCTAGAAGAGGTAAAGGAAATCATGATTTTTACTCTAATGAGGTTGCAAATTGATGTCTAACATGCCGTCGGGTAAAGAATGTGTTTGAAGTTAGAATGAGGAGCCCTTGTTGCCCCAGGTGTGAGCTCTTATTCCAGGATAGTCAGCATCCCTTCTTTTCTCTCTCATTTTCTTACTCTGGCCCTTTTTTGATTTCCCGTCTACCCAGGATTCTGTAAGTACCTGAGGAGCCAGGAGAATGGCTACAATGACTTCAGCAGTACTAGTGGACATACAAGACGAAGTGACCTGCCCCATCTGCCTGGAGCTCCTGAAGGAACCCCTGAGCATAGACTGTGGCCACAGCTTCTGCCAAGCCTGCATCACAGAGAACAGCAAGGAATCGCAGATCGGCCAAGAAGAAGAAAGCAGCTGTCCCGTGTGCCAGACCAGCTACCAGCTCAGGAACCTGCGGCCTAATAGGCACCTGGCTAACATAGCAGAGAGGCTCCGGGAGGTGGTGTTGGGCTCAGGGGAGCCGCTGAAGGTGATCCTTTGTGCGCACCATAGAGAGAAACTCCAGCTCTTCTGTAAGGAGGATGGAAAGCTGATCTGCTGGCTTTGCGAGCGGTCTCAAGAGCACCGCGGCCACCACACGTTCCTCATGGAAGAGGTTGCCCAGGAGTACCAGGTGGGAGCCCACGTAGAGGGAACGTGGGAAGGGACAGAGTTCTTGGCAGGAAATCTTAATTTTATGCTAACTTAATTTTTGTAGTCTTCCCATTTAGATAGAGGAATGAACCTAGAAAATTCCCCCTGGCCAAGAGTAGAGGCTTTAGCAGTTTCTCACTGCCCAGGATCAGCTCTGCATGTCCTTTTGAGAAGAGGATGCTGCTGGGGGCAAAAAGGGAGGTTGGGAGCATTGAGTGTGGGGGGAGATGGTGGCAATGAGAAGACGTGAGGGACTTCATGGTCAAGTTCTTTCTCTGGGACAAAATCGCCCTGGTCCTACTGGTGCCTATCCCCTGTGTATACCTTGGTTGTCTCAGATTTTCAGTCCAGGGTGGGACAAGTTTTTTCTGAGATCAGCATGCTCTGTCCCATCCATTCATGTCTAGCCACTGAGACCATTTAATGCTTGACTTGATGTGCTTCTTCCAGGAGAAGTTCCAGGAGTCTCTGAAGAGGCTGAGGCAAGAGCAGCAGGAAGCTGAGAAACTAAAAGCTGTGATCATAGAGAAGAGGACATCCTGGAAGGTAAGAGAGACTCTTCCTGAAGGTGTCCTGGGGTTTGAGAACAAGGAAAACTGGTCCTGTCCCCAGGTTGGCTAGAGGAGCTTCCCTTTGCCGAGTTTGTCTAGTCCTTCTCCACAACCCTTCCAAACAAAGCTCTTGTTCCTGGTGCAGGGCAAGGGAGAGAAAAGGGGGAGCTAGGAAATGAATATATTAAAAGGGAATCCAGGTTTTTCACCACAGTCACATAGTGGAGGAACCATGGCCATTAGCAGCTTCTAATTCCTGATTCTGGACTTTGTTCTACAGTTTCAAGCTCTGAAACTTGGAAGGACAGGTTAGATACAGGCCAATCATTCCTATCTCCTCACTCAAAATTGGATGGGGAGGCTAATGGAGAGGCATGAGAGACCTGGGAGGCTGCTTGAAATCTAAACCTCACCCAGGAATCACAGTTTACATCTAGGAGGCCTCAAAAAGTCCACCGGAGGCTAATGTTCTGGAAGAGTGGAGGGGAGAATTGAAGAAAGACCAGGTTCTGCAGGACTTTCCCCCTTCACTCCTCTACCAGTGAGACCTGGCCAGGGGAGCAGTGCTGAGACTGACTTCCCACCCCTTAGAGAGGAGACCCTCAGCTCCACAGACTAGCAGACTCTCTTCCATGTCCTTGAAGAATCAGCTGGAACCTGAGAGACACAGGATCCAGAAGGAGTTTAATCAGTTGAGAAGCATCCTGGACAAAGAGGAACAGCGGCAACTGAAAAAACTGGAGGAGGAAGAGAGGAAGGGGCTGAATATTATGGAAGAGGCAGAGGATGAGCTTGTCCACCAGAGCCAGGCACTGAAGGAGCTCATCTCAGATCTGGAGCATCGGTGTCAAGGATCCACAGTGGAGCTGCTGCAGGTAAAACTCATGAAGGTGCCCCCAACCTGAGAGTCTGGCAAAGAGAGACTAATATCCCTACCATTCTGACACGGGACTGATACCCTGATGGAGGCAAAAATAAAATTCCTTTGACCCTAGAGTGCCTCTTCCCTATTATATTTCACTTGTATTTATTATATACGAGAAGCCTGACACATGAAGATTCAGGCTAGACTGGGCTTTCCTTTCCACTCAGCCTCTTTCCGCTCAAGCTCCAAAGCCACCTCTTGAAGCCACCTCTTTCTGATCCCGGAGCCAACCCCACCTTCCCATGCTGCCCAGAAGCCCTGAGAGATCAGGATGACACACAGGCTTTCTGCTGCCCACCCTCCCTACCCCTGCACTTGGCGCATATATATGCAAATTAACCACTATCTTTGTTGGGTTAATTTGCATACCATCCTGATTGGCTGGTGGCGTAGCAGAGGTATGGTCAGTTTACATGTTTGTCTATTATTATGTAAGATAAAAAGTGATCCAAAAGTTCAGTTGACACTGTGTTGGAAATCTACTGTGCCCAGCGATGTTCTATTGAAGCATTAATCAGCCTTGACATTATTGACCTATTGGGCTAGAAAAGTTACTATGAGGGCTGCCCTGCACATTGTAGGATGTAGCAGCATCCTTGCCCTCTGCCCCCTAGATACCAGAAGTACCCACACCCAGCTGTGACAATCAAAAAACCCTCCAGACATTGCCAAATATCCCTTGTGGGGAACATCTCCCACCTCCCCCTGTTGAGAATCTCTGGCCATCGAAGATACTCTGATTGGTTATGATTGGTCATGTACTTTCACTCACTTTCATAGCAGATAAACACATACCAAGCTCAAGTGCCCAGAGATTCTTATGTAATCACCAGTCCTTCTTGGCGTTCACTCTCTTTTCTAGGGAAGAATCATTTACCATGTTGTAATAGGAGTTTGAACTGGTCTTTTAAGTCACAAGACTGAGCTCTGGTGTGTGTGTGTGTGTGTGTGTGTGTGTGTGTGTGTGTGTGTGTGTGTAGGGTACAAGGAGTCCAATATAGAGAGTTTCCATGGTGGAGCTTGAACTGAGGTTAAAACCTGAAGAGTTATTTTTTAAATTGAGTGAACAATATAAATATGAAGTTGCAGAAAGCACCTTGTGACATTCTGGAACTTTCAGGCCCTTCCTTATTTTTGTTTGACTTGTTTTCTTCTTGCTCTTTCTTTGCCAGTGTGATACTCATTTCTTTACCTATTCTTGGACCTCAGTATTAAGATCAAAAGGTAGTGACTTTCTACTTGTTGAAGCTTTTCTTCATTGATTGCTTCTGATTTAACATCTTCATTTTATTCTTCTTGCCCTTTTTTTTTTTTTTTTTTTTTTCCATTTTTGATATTGGGTTACCTTAATGTTTTCTTCTCACTCCTCACCCCCCAGTTCTAGCCCCCGGCACAGGCTTCTCAAATTGTAAACATTGCTTCGTAAGAACAAAGGCATCATCAATTTATATTGCTAGTCCAGGTGTCTGTCTAGGCTCTCACACTCATTAGTATGGTTACCCAATGGACATTTAAAAAAATGCTTTTATTGATTTCAGAGAGAGGAAGGGAGAGGGAGAAAGAGATAGAAACATCAATCAGAAAGGAGAATCATCAATCAGCTACCTCCTGCGTGCCTCCCATCTGGGATCCAGCCCACAAGCGAGGGAATTGAACTGTGACTTTCTGGTTCATTGCTTGATGCTCAATCACTGAGCCATGGCAGCCAGCCCCATGGACATTTTCATTTGAATTTTCTCTTACAGTCCATTTTCCTAGAATTTGCCCAGTATAGACACATTCTCCCTTCTCTTTTCCATGTCTGTGGCATTGTTGCTCATTAAGATCTTGGCAGCTTTCAAGTTTCAAAATGTAAACGATGAGAATAAAGCTAACACAGGAGACCTGCAGTGGCACCTGGTTGGATCATGCCTTAAAATTGCTGCAATCCTAGATTTTTTATATAAGCTGGCACATCCACCACCTCCACCACTTTCGATATTTTAGCCAATTTGAGCTGTGTTTCTGTTAAATGCAATCAAAATAGTTATATAGATCAAACCACTGGCCTTTTCTTCAGTCACTGAAGTTTATAAAGCAGGAGTCAAATGAGGCAGATAGTGACAGCAATGACCTTGAAAAGCAAGAGGCTAACAGGTTAATGGTGTGAAATGGACTGGCTTAGTCTAAGATGAGACATCAGTGTGAATATAAGGTTTTTAGTATAATACTTTACCTAAATTTGGTGACTGCATGGATGGTGGTATCACTGAAGAAGGTGGGAGATAGTAGAGGAGACCTCATGTTTGCAGAAAGAGTAAAGTTTCTTTTAAAAATCTTGAGTTAATGATGCCTGTGGCTCATTTGCTGGGGTATACAGTAGGTCCTCGGGTTACGTCTAAGATTCGTTCCTACGGCACGATGTAACGTGACTTTTGCCGTAAGTCAGAACCTACCTACATAAGCACCTACATCACTCACATGGAGCACATACACAACAGTAATGAAGTGAAACAGTAAAAAAAAAAAAAAAAAAAAAAAAAATTAAAAGAAAGATAACAATTCCTGACCTTTACCTGTGGTAAATAAATAATAAAACATAAAGCACATATGTACATAAATTGAAATGATGGAACTTTTTTTATAAATACTGTAAATGGGAGATGGCGATGTAACCATGAAACAATGTACGTAGAGTCCATAACTGGAGGACTGCCTGTGTAAGAGATCTAAAAAGTACAGAGTTGGGAATCCACATGTATGTATTGAACTCAAGAAAAAATGGATTAACTCAACAAAAGGAGCATAGACAAAGGAGATGAGGTTTAAGAAACAACCACAGTTGCCCTGGCCAGGTTGGTTAAAACATTGTCTTGGGCACCAAGGTTGTGGGTTTGATCACTGGTCAGGCCAATTACAAGAAGCAACCAATGAATGCATAAATAAGTGTAATAACAAATCAATGTCTCTCTTTCTTAAAAAAAAAAAATCAGTAAATAAAATTAAAAACAATATTAAAAAAGGAACACATTTAAGGCCCTGTATCCTTAGCAACCAGAATGTAGAGGACAGAAATTATGGCTTTAGCATGGGATATTCTCTAGGGCAAGGCACAATGTCTAGCAAATATAGGTAATGTACATATGTAACATATCACACACACACAAACACAGACACACACACACACAGACACACACACACACACACACACACACACACACACAGTTGTAAAAATAAAGATACCAATGAATGAATCATCATTTCCTGACATCCCTATATAGGGTTTCAGAGACAGTGTGCTTTCAAGTTCTCATCTCTACCTGTGGTCTCTATATTCCCATCATATAATGGGGTGGTAGGGATGGGATGAGGAACCTGGGTGAGGCTGTACTAGAGGACAAGGCTTATGACTCTTAGACTTAACCTTTCTCTTTTCTTCCTAGGACGTGAGTGATGTCACGGAAAGGTATGTGCAAGAGAACACGAGGTGGTTCCTTCGGAGTGACAAAAGATTTCTGCACCATTCATAGAGTTACCTTGTGGTCAGTTGGAAAGGAAAAGAATCACAAGGCAGAGAAGATTTAGGACTGGTGTCTCGAGTTACTTATTATGAGAATTTTGGGGTCCTCCAAAATAAAGAGAATGGCCTGATTTCTATGGTAGGATAATTTAGGTAATGGGAGGTCACAAATTGGAAACAGCAGTGCCCTTAAGGATAAAGGGTTAACTGTATCATTGATTATCCTAATGCCCTGTGATGAAACTCCTTTTCCACAAATCTCTGTGCCTGATTCTAGTAGTTTATGGCTATGTCAGAATACACAGAGCTTCCCATTACCCCTGTATTTTATCAGAGGGAAGTTTCCTCTCTACATTGTCCTATCCTAGAGTCCATAATTCAGTTTTTGGAACATCTTCCTTGAATTTCCCTTTCTCCCTTGGCTTTGGAACAGTTCATATCTTGCTACCTAGTTCTCCTCACACTTCCTCTTTTTCTTTTTTTTTTTCTTTTTTTTCCAATTTCTATAAAAACAGACCTGGAGTCTTAAGAAATGTGATTTTGGCCTGAGATCAAAATACATAGTCTCTATCCTGTACTCCAGAATCTCACCCTTAAAGATGACATCTAAAGTTGCCCACACACCAGGTCCATGTGAAATATGGAGGCTGGTCCCTTGCAAAGCATCAACAAACAAACATAAAAAGAGGTTTTGATGGGTTAAATCTTATCAAAATTTACAGATAGTGAGAAGCTAGTTTTTTGTTCTGGTTTTCTGGCCACAGCATCAAGGCTCTTTGGTGAATGACGCTAATTTTCTTCAGGAAAGTGTTGAGGTTCCCCCAGGGGCTTAGGAGATGAAGGACAGTGGTGCTGGGGGAATCCAAGGTCAGCCATGTAGGAGATTCACAATGTCTGTTCCCTAGGAGTGAGTACTGGACTCTGAAAAAGCCGGAGGATCTCCCCACCAAGCTGAAGAGTGCATTTCGGGCCCCAGATCTGAAAAAGATGCTACGAGTGTTCAGAGGTGAGGAGATTGAGGAGACAGAATTTGGATGTGAAATGATTGTAGTAATAACAGATAAAAAGAGCAGAGGGTATGAGTTAGTATTTGGAAATAGCGGCTGAGAGTCAGGTTAAGGCAAGAAACACCAACCAGAGCCTATTAGTTCTACACATGATTGACTTTTTGTCATTACAGAGCTGACAGATGTCCAAAGCTACTGGGGTAAGTAGAATCATAGACCTCTTTAAGCTGCCATGTTCTGATCTTCTTTTACATGAGAATCTTTCCAAACAAATCCCACCCTCTCCACACATCTCCCCCTTTCCCATCCCCCCACCCCCCATACACACACAGGTATAAGTTGGTGATACTTCCTCCCATCCCCCCACCACATCGTTTCAATTCCTCCCACCCACTCTGTGTCTCCTCTTCTCAGTGTCATAAGACCCCTGCACCCCATGCCATCTGCTGAACTGGTACCTTTTCCCACAGTGGACGTGACTCTGAATCCACACACGGCTAATTTAAACCTTGTCCTGTCGAAAAACCGGAGACAGGTGAGATTTGTGGGTGCCACTGTGCCTGGCTCTCATCTGGAAGAGCACTATGACTGTGGCATCCTGGGCTTGCAGCATTTCTCCTCAGGCAAACATTACTGGGAAGTGGATGTGGCCAAGAAGACTGACTGGATCCTGGGCGTGTGCAGCCATGCCACGGGCCCTCCATTCTCCGTCAACCAGTTTGGGAACAATCGCAGTGTTTACTCCAGATACCAGCCTCAGAATGGCTACTGGGTCATCGGGTTGCACCATAAACATGAATATAGAGCCTACGAGGACTCTTCCAGTTCCCTGCTCCTCTCCATGACTGTGCCCCCTCGCCGGGTTGGGGTTTTCGTAGACTATGAGGCCGGCACTGTCTCCTTTTTTAATGTCACAAACCACGGCTTTCCCATCTACACCTTCACTAAGTATTACTTTCCTACCACTCTTTGCCCATATTTTAATCCTTGCAACTGCGTGGTCCCAATCACCCTGCGACGCCCAAGCTCTTGAACATTCTGCTGCCCTCGCCCATATCTGAGCAGTAAGCACCCTTTGAGGCTCATCCACCCCTCAGTCTCCTTTCTTACCTATTTTCTGCAGTCTCCTTCCCTTTTCTTTGAACATTTACTCAGGGCTAGAATGCACTGGTGGTGACAATGAACATCCTTCAAGTATGATAATTACATATCTAGAGAAGGGTGAGGGGTAACTTTCAGTCTTTTACTATTAACCATGGTATTTTTTTGTCAGTGCAGAGGACCAAATATGGGACATTTTCTTAATTTGCTATGAATTTTTGTTCTGAATGGATAATTGAATTTCAACAGATATTGTCGCTGATTGAGATAATCCTGTGTCATTTTTATTCTGTTATTGGAGTACATTGATTTGTTCCAATGTTTAAATGTAATACAGATTCCTGAAATAAGACACTATCATTTTGCATGTGCAATACTGAATTTGTTTTATTAATTCTTGTCTTAGATTTTATTTTTATCTCTATTTATGAAAGAAATTGATCTGTAACTTTACATTCTTATAATATCACAGGTTTTATAAAATGCAACCAATGAACAAAGAAATTGATGTATGTTTTTGTATAAGGGCATAAGAGTGCTAAAGCCTAATATGTTAAATTTGGAAGTTTTAAAATTAAAGAAAGAAATTCTGACCAGTTTTTACTCCATCCTTCATGGATCTTAAAATGTTAACAGTAGAAATTAAAAAATTAAAACAAAATCTGTCAAGTACATTGAAGTACTAAAAGGAAAGAGGAAAATGATCCATCCAATATAAATTATTTTAGGAAGAGAATGATTTCTTTCCATTTCTCCACATCCCCTTTGCTTTATGCTCAATATGAACAGCCAGTGAGTGAGCAGCGATGACTCATGTAATGAGATGCTATATGCTTTTGGCGCCAACTGTAAAAGCAGTTATGAAGTGGAGTGAGTGTGGAAACACATATTAAAGAGTTGACAAGAGCTAATGTCCAGTTGGTAGCCAAGGGCCACTGGCAATTCAAATGTGACTAGTCTGAAGTGAGACATGCTATATGTGTAAAATGTACACCATTGGTTCAAAAAATAATATAAAATATTGTATTAATTATTTTTATATTGTAGAGTACAATATAAAATGATCATAAGATTTTGGATATATTATGTTAAATAAAATATATATTAACGTCACCTGTTTTACTTTACTTGTTTGATGTAGATGCTAGAAAATTTTAAATTATATATGTGGCTCGCATTACATGTTAACTGGACAGCTTATCCTGTAGTGCAGTTTCTCCCCATAAGGGGGCTCTGGTATACGGAAGATGTTATTTGTATATCTACATGGATCCTCTATCTCTCTGAGGCATTTGTGTAGAAGGTACTGGCAGAGAGAAGAAGATCTGAACATCTAGAAATTTATAATTTAGAAGATCATAGAAAGGGGTCATGGCCAGAGAATAGATTGCGTAGTCTGGTCCCTGTCTTTAGCCCTCAGGCTGTTGGACATTTGAAGTTCCATTGTGGTTTGAGGAATTATTAGTTCATCCTCCTGGCTCAGCTCTAGATAGTTAGTGTCTGTATGAGATGAAGTAAAAGTCCAGTACTGGGTTACTCTAAGATAAAGTTTAATTTGGGAGGTTAAATTTGTGGGAGACCAGAGGCCAAATGCACACTCATTCTTATCTGGACTTTATTCAGAAGAAATATGAAAGGAGACAGGAGGCAAACCAATGCCTATGTGGCTGATGGAAGTTGGGGGATAAGAGATGATGGTAAAAGAATCTGTAACTGTGCCCTTTTCATTTCTTTTCCCATATAGTAAGCTTCAGGTGAAAGGAGTTAGCCCAGCTGTCTTCTCCCTATGGAGGTACCTAGTGAATGACCTTAGTTAATAGGAAAATCAAGTGCTTGCTGGGATGCTATAGGTGAGATGTGGGGAGAAATTAGAATGAGTTTGCAGCCCTGGCTTTCTCTGGGGGGTAGGGGAGGGTGTCTGGGCAGGGGCCTCCTGGCCTTGACATTTTTGGCGTGATGCAGTAGGCTAAGCTGCTATGAAAACTAAACCCAAAAACAAAATGGATCAAATAAATGTATTTATTGCTTATGTAAAAAAACATGAATATAACTAGGGGGTGAGTGGCACTTTTCCACAAGGGATGTATGGAGCAAGCTTCATCTGTGGCTCTGCCACCCGAAAACAGTATTGCCATCAACATCAAAACAACAGAAAGGCAAAGAAAACTGGGGAGGCAGTTTGCTTCTGAAGTCTTTAGTTCTTATGTGGAAGTCATAATTTCTGCTCACAACTTTCTGTTACTGAGAATAGCCATGTGGCCCCACCAAAATACCAAAAGATTGTAAGATGTCTAGCCACACACAATTTCCAGGGGAGGAAAATGCAGATCTTGGTGGATGCCAAGTGGCCTTGTGGCCTGGAACCTTAAGCAACTCCTCCTCCTCATTCCAGAAGATCCAGGATCTCAGATTTTTTCTGGGCTGTTTATTCCATCCTGTAGCCTAAGGTTCATAAGGAAAAGACTGAGTGAGGGCAGTGCTATTGCGGAGTCTTAGGCAAGTGGTATACTTAATCCTAACATTTTTCAATAAACCTGTTCTTGCTAGAGCTGCCATTTACATTTTATTCTACTGTAAAGAAAAAAATTTGGAGTGAAGGGCTTTTTAAACATTTTTATTGTGATATAATTGACATGTAAATTGCACATATTTAAAGTCTACAGTTTAAGTTTTGACTTGTGAAACATCTCCATCAAGACAATCAAGATAACCACCCTCAAAAAAAAAAAAAAGAAAAGAAAGATATCCTCCTTCTTCAAATGCTTCCTCCTGCCCCTTTGTAATCTCTTCTGTCTCTGCCCACTGCACCCCCAACCCCTAGCAACCACTGTCTGCTTTGTCTCAGTGTGCATTCTCTAGAGGTTTATATAAATAGAATCCTTCAGTTTTGTTGTCTGTTTCTGTCATGCTCCAGATTGTTGTTATTATTATTGCCATGTAGTATTCTATTGCATCAATACAATTATATTGTTTGTAAAAACTTACCCACTTGCCTATTGATGCAAATATGGGTGGTTTCCAGCTTTTGGCTACTACAGATATAGCTGTTGTGAACATTTCTTATAAAACTCAAATAGTAAACACATGCTTTCGTTTCTTGTCTAACTGCCTAGCTGCAAAATAGCCGGGCTCTATGGTAGGTATATGGGTAAGGTTTTTGAAGCTGCCAAACTATTTTCTAAAATGATAGTTCCAATTTTACATCTGACTTCAATTGCTCTACATCCTTGCCATGGCTTGGTTCAGCTTTGGGAGAGTGTGGAGCTATGGGAAATAATGGGAATAAACCGGAGGGACCTAAAAAACTGAAACAGAAATATTATTTCTTTAATGTGACCTTTTTTCTTTCCTGTTGGTGTAAACTGGCCCCATTTAGCACCCTGACACACCATCTCCCTCTCCCTTCCATGTCCATTCCCTTAGTGATTAAGCCATCCTGACAATGAGATTCTAGTCAGCATCAAAATATTTTTGGAACAAAGCCTCAAATCTATTGACCACAGAGTTTCAGTCAAACTAGACTTTAGTTGTGTTTCAGTTCCAGGCCCAGCAAAGAGGAACCACCCCACCGACCACACCCTCATGACACCAGACAGGATGACGCTCTGGCTGACATTAAGACCTGATACAGTGCTCAACTTCTCCCCGCTTTGGCCCTGACCAGCCAGCAAAACCCACATCCCAACTCCCTCAGTTGCCATAATGAATGATTTTCCACCTATAGAACCCATCACCTGGAAGCCATCAGGGCGCCAGGTCTCAGAGCAATAGCTCACCTGGGACTCTGGGTTTGGTGTCATTTCCTTCAAAATATACCTTTTGATTGGGCTTTGGTGTCTAACAAACCCTTTTACTTGGTAACAAAAGCTGCCACTTTACTCTTGTGATGGTTGCCCTCATCCTCCAGGTAATTTCAGTTCTCCCTTTGCCCATATAAACAAGTCTCCATGGTGTGACCCTTGCCCACTTCTTGTGGTATCTCTTGTTTACCTGGAGCTCCAAGCACAATCTCATGGAACCAGTTGCAGATTACAGCAAAGCCATTTTTGGCTCCTAGAGGTGCAACTGCAAGTAATGCACCAGCGGAACTCTTGATACCCTAAGGTGAGTGCCCAAAAGTTACCATTACTTTCTATTTCGAACACACAGTACATTTGGTAGAGAATTGTTGGCCTGGATAAGTCTGTTGTGGGAGCTCTGTGCATTGCAGAATGTTTAGCTGTATCCCTGATCTCTCCCCACTAGATGGCAGCAGCCTTCCCTGTAGTGAGGACAACCAAAACTTTCCGACTTTGCCAAATGTCCCCTGGGGCAAACCTTCCCTCCCCACCCCATCCTTCTACAAACACTGGGTTAAAGCATTACTCTCTGCCATCGCCCAGAAGGACTGCCACCATTTGGCCCAGAAGCTCTGTCCCCTTTCACTTTCACTTCTCAGCCAGTTCCTCAGGAGGAACTACTTCCTGCAGACTGAGCCCCGGGTTGGAGAATGAACCCTGACCAGAACCGCCCCGACTTTTCCTCACCACTTAAATCTGGAGTCAAGACTTCTCCGCTGGGACCTGAAGGTGTGTGGGGAGGTTTATGGCAGGCCCAGACTCGCGGACAGAGATACTAGGTGAAGTTGGTGAGGCATTTTGTGGCGCAGATGTGCTCAGGAGGGAAGAAAAGCCAGCTGCAGGCGCTTTCTACTCTGAGTGCAGACTCAGGGCAGCGTCTGGGGAGGGACAGCGTGAGAGAAAAGAGTGTTAAACAGGCAGTGGGCCTTGTTTGCTACCTGGAAGGACCCTTATTTTAAACAGGATGAGTTCATCTCCATCCTCTTCCTGTTCTATGGTTTTGATTACCTATCTTGCTGAAGGGAACTGTAATATCTCTCTCTCTCTCTCTCTCTCTCTCTCTCTCTCTCTCTCTCTCTCTCTCTCTCTCTCTCTCATCTCTATCTCTCTCTCTTTTCCTCTCTCTCCCCTTCCCTCTCTCCCCCTCCCTTCCTCTCTCTCTATAAAGAGATAAACAGAAAGTCTCTTCTACTTACTCCACTCCGTTTGTAAAACGAGGTGCCTGTTTTACAACTGTGCGAGAGCCCAAGCTCCTAGTATGGGGCATCAGACTGGAGAATGGAGTCTTGGGGACATGGCCAGGGGTAATATTGAGCCTGATTCTTTCAGGCCCCTCCTGCCACCACGGAGGCGCTGTCTGTGGCCTTCCTGACACCCTCAGCTGCTGGCCAGTCGGAAGACAGCAGGCTAAGGATGGGTCTGCTGCCTGCCTCTGAGCTCTGAGGCCGCCTTTTCTCCCATGTGTCCTGAGCTTCACTCTCAGGGCTCTGCTTGCACTTCCCTGAATAGACCTGCCTGCTCTGACCTCAGAGTTCATGGACCCTGACTGGTGTCCTCACCTGCCTCGGAGCTCTTAGACACACCTTTGCATTGATTGTTATCTCTGCTGCTTACTGTTTTTCCTTGTTCAGAGATCATTAATAGGGTTTGACTATTGCCCAGAAGGAGACCAAAGATTTAATGATCTTGCTAAGAAGTATATATATATATATATATATATATATATATATATATATATATATATATTTAAAAATAAATAAAAAAGAAGTTTGCTCTGACACTGAACATGTATCATCCTAAGGTCATTAGGGAATAATTTGCACACCATTGACATGTCACAAATTTTCTCAAACATGCCCATTCTATCTTATACTTTCACTTTTCAGATGTCACTGTTACTGCCTTCCTGGGAATCTATGCCTACCGTGGAGAGGGTCCATTACTGCCCACATATTGTCTCTCAGGGTCAAGAACAAGGTCTAACACATGAGATAAAATAGATGTACTTACTTATTTTTTAAAAAATTGAATTCATATGAATGAAAGCAGGCTGCTGCTGTGAAAAAGTGCATTGAATATCCATTCAACATGCAAAACATGTTAAATACATATAAGAGCTTACATTCTAGTTGGGGATAGATCATAACAAATTATAAATAATTGATGTGGTATGCAAGAAGGTGACTAGCCTTGGCTGGGGTGGCTCAATTGGTTGGAGCATTGTCCCCTACAGCAAAAGGTTGAGGGTTCTATTCCCAGTCAGGGCACTACCTGAGTTGCAGGTTTGATGCCCATATGGGGTGCATACTGAGATACACATATGTATGTATATAGATATCTTTCTCAATCAATGAACAAATCTTCAAGTGAGGATTTAAATTAAAAAAAAGAGTTAATGTCAAAGCAGCTGCCACCAGAATGACTATGATTATGGGATAATGCTTTTAAAACATTGAATTAGGGTGAGTGACATTCTGAAAACTTTGCTAGAGCTCTTGGGGAAACTTTGAGCTCTTCTAGAAAACTTTGCTAGAACTCTTTTATATATATTATTGATTTTTTTACAGAGAGGAAGGGGGAGAGATGGAGAGCTAGAAACGTCAATGAGAGAGAAACATCGACCAGCTGCCTCTTGCACACCCCCCAACGGGGATGTGCCCGCAAGTCCATGCCCTTGACTGGAATCGAACCTGGGACCTTTCAGTCCGCAGACCGACGCTCTACCACTGAGCCAAACCGGCTTTGGCTTAACCTTGAACTTTTAAGGGGTGGCTGAATTAGAGACTCTGAGCCTAGATGAATAGGGAGGGACAGTTGCAGTGTTTCTGAGTTCACCTGGTCTCTGGATGCCAAAAACACGTCCTACTTTCCCCATTGGCAGTTCATGATCCAGGACACCAAGGGAATCATCTGGGATAGTGTCTGAAAACTTCAAAGGAAATCCTTTCTACACTTCACTTCCAGGAGACACTTTCATTTTATTATCTAACCTGCGGAGAGGCATGGATTGTGCCTTATTATAAGTCCAGATGTGAGGAGAATACTCAATTGTGGGGTACAGGTGTCTGACACTTAGGGTAACCAGCTGACCTGACAGTTCCATCAGGCAGATGTAACTTGTGTTCCTTTCTCTAACTCCCTGACTGCTGCTCAGCTTTTGAGTCACTCTTAAACATTGTTGGAGACACTTCCCGGCCATGTGTGGGGCTCTGCCTTCTCTGTACCTTTCTCTTTCTGTGATCATTGTGACGACAGGTGTTTTGACATCAACTCCTGTAGTCCCACTCTGATGTGAGGTCCACAACCCCGTGGGAGAAAGCATGCTCTGTTACTCTCTTCTCCGTAGGTTCTTGGTGTTTTTCAGCATCGATTGGATATTGAACAGAATAAAAGATAACAGAGAAGTGCACACCTGTGGCTGGCTCATTGATCTTCCACTGTAATCATGGCTCATTGATCTTCCACTGTAATCATAAACCCCTGTTTTTGTCACCAGAGCCTGATCTAATCAATTGCCACCACAGAAAGTGACTAATAGTGTATTGACTTTAGCCAATTTTATGTATTATATCTCTACCATTGGCTGGATTGCTCCTTTCAATCCCTATTCATGGAAGTTTTATTCCTCATCAGATTCAGTTAATGAATCTTTAGAGAAGTGGGCAGATTCCTAGGCCTACAGGTATCTCTATACAGCTTTCATTCTATCCCCATCCTTTCTTTATAGAGCAAGGGGAAGGGGAAGATTTATAGTTTGTTACACATCTCAGATCTTTCACTATCAAATTCTTTCAACTATATTAATAACCTAATGTTGCTGTAACAAATTACCACAAATTAGGTGGCTTAAAACATCAGGGATTTATTCTTTTGCAGTTCAGGATGACAAATGTCCAAAGTCAAAGTAGTGATAGAGTTGGAGCCTCTGAAGAGAATCTGTCCCCCTTCTCTCTTAGTTTCTGGTGGTTTCCAGCCATCTCAACAGTCCCTGCCTTGTTGGCCTTCTTTGCCACCATTGTTACATGGCCTTCTTTTTTATGTGTCTGTGAACCCTTTTTCTTCTTATATTAACTCTGGTCATTGGATTTAGAATCTACCCTCTTCCAGTATGACCTCATCTTAATTTGATTACATCTGCAAAAACCTCAATGCAAAATAAGGCTACATGCACAAAGGCAAATGTGAGGGACACAATTTCAGTCCATTAGAAGACATATCAAAAAATAAAATAAATAAATAATAAATAAAAATAAAAAAAGAGGACATATCAAGACATTCATAGCCATTGAGGTCTTCTCCCTTACCTTACAGCTCCTTTGTCCAAATTTAGCCCAGGCTGTAAGAGTCAGTGTCACCATGCTACTGCTGATGGACCACCATTATACTTCCAGGTTTGGTTTGCCATTCCTACACATGTGACAATAGGACATAAGCCAGCCAGGTTTACATAATTTAGCAAAGGCATATAAGATAGGAGACATAGCATGTTGGCATGACTGCCCCAGGTGAGCTCTAATGAGAGTTTGCAAGGAGATCTAGGAATTACTTTATACCCCCCCATGACAGGTCTTTTGTAAACAAGAGACTGTCACTTTTATGTCATTTAGGAAGTGTCACATTGTGAGACCCTTTAGGCTCCTGTATTGCAAAAGGCCTAGCAGCTCTCTGCACACCAGCCATAGTGGTGTTCTAAAATTAGTGGAAGACGCTGTGTCCTCCATCAATAGAGCATTCTTCTCCCTAAAATGTTTTTCCTCTTTATCATTCCGTATTCCCTTCTCATCTTTTATTTTTCAGCCTTATCCTTACTTATTCAAATGGGATTTTTTTATGATCTCCTATTTAATTTTCCCAAAACATGTAATTCAGTGTGGTGCTGATTATCATACCTACCAGACCTCTGAAAGAGGACCCTGAAAACATTCTATTCACTCCAATTCACTTACTAAATTGAATAATCTTTGTAAGTCAATGGATTCCATGTACAGATCAGAAAAAAAGAGAGTATTCTTATTTTTTAAGGATTTTTACATGAGGAATAAATAGGTCAAAGTGATGTGTAATTGTAACTGGTTAATAATTGTTAGTAATAAGATTACTTCCTTATTGTGGCCCTTGCTATTTCTATCAGTATTGCTGAGGAGTAATATGAGAGGGTTTTGTGTGAGACAGATTGGAAACCATTTATGTGGTCCCAAAGCTCACCTATCAGTGAACTCCTAATTAAAGGAAAGACAAAACAATGATTTTTAAAAGGAAGTCTAGTCACCTATGGAGAAGTGAGGCTCTTTACATATTTATTTATTTATTTATTTATTTATTTATTTATTTATTTTTTCCGTGTGACATATTTTATTTTATTTTTTTTTTTAAATCAATCTTTATTGTTCATATTATTACAAAGGTTCCTCATTTCTTCCTCCCTCCACCAGGTTCCCACCCCACCCTCTGCCCCCTCCCCATCCCCCATTGTCCTCATCCATAGGTGCAGTTTATGTTCAGTCTCTTCTTCCCTCAATTTCCCCAATAGTAAATCCCTTTTCAGATAGTAAATCAGTTACTTAGCATTTTCTCATATCAATAATACCTCCACATGCCCAATGATACACTTCACACAAAAGACATTTCCCAATAGGTCCACCAGCCTCATCCAGGCCCCACCCAAGGCACTCACAGATCAACACCCCAGTCCTATACTAACTCAACACATCCAGATCTAAGCCTTCATCACTTGATTCAGCAGACCCTCAAGTTTCCACGAAAGTTTCCAGCCATGTCTGAGAAGCAGCTGTGGGGCAGGGGCAGGCAAGGAGCGAGCTGTTCTGGGCCTGGCTGCTCAGGGCCTGGCCTCTGTTGCTCTGGTTCATTCCACAACCAGCTGCTCCGGGTCTGGTCACTGCCGCTCCCGACCTAGTTGCTCTAGACTTGGCTGCTGCTGCTCCGGGCCTGGTCGCTCCCAGCCTGGCAGCCGCTGCTCCAGGCCTGGCCGCACCCGACCCGCCTGCTCCCCCGGGCCTGGCCGCTCCCAGCCTGGCAGCAGCTGCTCCGGGCCTGGCCGCACCCGACCCGCCTGCTCCCCCGGGCCTGGCCGCTCCCAGCCTGGCAGCAGCTGCTCCGGGCCTGGCCGCACCCGACCCGCCTTACATATTTATTTAGTATTGTGTTCCCAGACAAGGGCCTGGTCCATGTGTGGCTTACACTTTAGGAGTAGGACATTTAAAGAAGGATGTCATATATTATATAGTGGTAATAAGAAAAAGATGTTAAATAATACACCAAATGATGCTTTGGTGGTTGCGCTGTAGAAAAGTTAGTCATATTAGACATGCAAGAAGGGAGTTCAGTGAAATATAAGAGGAAGTCACGCAAATGTCAAGGAAGGATCATTCCAGGCTGAAAGAAAAGCTAAAGGTAGCCTGTGGACTGAAAGGTCCCAGGTTCGATTCTGGTCAAGGGCATGTACCTTGGTTGCAAGCACATCCCCAGTAGGAGGTGTGCAGGAGGCAGCTGATCAATGATTCTTTCTCACCGATGTTTCTAACTCTCTATCCCTCTCCTTTCCTCTCTGTAAAAAATCAATACAATATATTTAAAAAAGAAAAGAAAAGAAAAGAAAAAGCTCTGAGGCATACCCAAGTCACTGAATTCACTTTTCTCCTCTTTTTTTTTTTTTTATGTCTTTCAGCTTTTCAGCCTTGGCCAAACTTGAAAGTGTGCACAGTTAGCATCCCTTTTATTTGTGTATATCCTTTCTTTTTTTATTTTATTTTATTTTATTATTTTTTTTGGATGTTGGCATGTGTTTATTTTTTATTTTTATTTTTTTACATATTTTATTGATTTTTTTTTACCCCCCTATACCATATCCTTTCAATCTGCCCACCCATCCAGGAATCTTTAAGCAAGAAGAGCCTCGGGAAGAAACCAGGGGAGCAGCTGCCATGGCTTCAGAATTCCTAGAGAACATGAAGGAGAAGGTGACTTGTGCCATCTGCCTGGAACTTTTGACAGAACCCCTGAGTCTAAACTGTGGCCACAGCTTCTGCCAAGCCTGCATCACTGACAACAAGAAGCCAGAGATCGGCCCAGGAGGGGAAAGCAGCTGTCCTGTGTGTGGTGTCAGATACTCTTTTGGAAGCCTATGGCTTAATCAGCATCTAGCCAACATAGTAGAGAGAGTCAAAGAGGTCAAGTTAAGCCCAGAGGAAGGGCAGATGAAAGATCTCTGTTTGAGCCATGGAGAGAGACTCCAACTCTTTTGTAAAGAGGATAGGAAGGCTATTTGTCAGTTTTGTGAATGGTCCCAGGAGCACCGTGGTCATCAGATATTCCTCATGGAGGAGGTAGTCAAGGAATACCAGGTAAGGCCCAGGATGGAGGGAGATCCATCCTACTTTACTCACCACAGCATCTTAGTTTGGACTCCTGTAATTTCCTTCCATGTGTCACTTACCCTATGCTTGGCTTCCCAAGTCTGAGGGACATCACTGTATTCCTTCAATCTACATAAAGTATGAGTCTAAGTACAAACTTTGGCCAAGAGTGAAAGGTTTTCCTCTTTTCTCCTTCGTCATGTGGATGGAGAATTTCTTTCACAAGTTTAGCTCTCATTGTTCCGCCTAGCAGGAAGGTTGCTATTAACATTGGGGATGGGATATGGAAAGACTTTCAATAAGAGAATAGGACTTTTCTTGGCCATAACAGAATCAATATTTACTCTAAAAAGAAAGAAAAATCAAGCTACTCTTGGTGAGGAGGTAGTGACTTTCATCACCTAGGAAAAAAGAAAACATTCAGCTCCTCAGATTTTCTCCCAGGTCATAGATTATAATCACCAGATTCTAATAGTAAACCAGTCTCTTCTGAGATCAGGCTTATTTATTCTTCATTTATTCTCTTTCCAGGTGCTAAGAAAGACCATGGCTTGACTCTGGTATGATTCCCCTCTCTCTCACAGGAAAAGCTCAAGACAACTCTGGACAGACTGAGGAAGGAGCATCGGGAAGCTGAGAAATTGGGTACTGACATCAGAAAAGAGAGAACTTCCTGGAAGGTAGGAGGAGACTCTTCCTGGGTAATATCTGAACTTCCATGCCAATCACAAGGAAGCCCTTTTCTCTTCATTCCCTGACATTGAATGAGTCCAGAAGCCATTTGGTTAGTTCTCTTCCTTGTCCTGTCTCTGTTGGGGGTAGGGGCAGGAGAGTAGATGTTACACATAAATATATTACAATTACAAATGGTACACACAGATATTTGGAATTGAGAGCAAAAAACAGTCTTAGTGGTGAGGAAGGCTCAAGAATTCTGTCTTCCATTCCTGTTTTCCAGTGAGGCTCTCACACCTCCAGTGGAAGGAAGACAAACTTCCAGGTGCAAATGTGAGAGTGTGGGAAGGCATGAATGTCTAGGACAGCAGTCTACAACCTAAACCTCTCCCCAGTTTTACATTTGTTCCAGGGTTGGGCTAAATAAGAGAGTCTGAGGCCTTTTTGATTTATATTGAAAAGGAAAACAGCTTTCCCCAAAATTGCTTCCCTGTTTCTAATCCTTTCCTGATTAGAACTCCCTCAAAAAAAATCCTTTTCCCTGGCTCCTAATCCCTTTCACAGTAGGCTCTCGTTACTTCTCTCTCTTGTTTCACCTTGCAGAATCAGATACAGACTGAGAAACAAAGGATACAAACAGAATTTAATCAGCTTAGAAGCATCTTGGACAGTGAAGAGCAAAGAGAACTGCAGAAATTGGAGGAAGAGGAGACGAAGACCCTGCATGACTTAGCTGAGGCTGAGAATGAACTGGTTCAGCAGAGCCAGTTGCTGGAAGAGCTCATCTCAGATCTGGAGTGTCGCAGTGAATGGTCAGCCCTGGAGCTGCTGCAGGTAAAAAGGGTGACCCAATCTGAGATTCTTAAAACACCCTCTAACTTGGCTTCTCTTCTGTGCCCTGGGGCTCTAATCCTGGTGTTGACACTAAAAGGTTCCTTTGACCTTGTAGAGCACCTGAGAATAAAGTCAACAGAGAGGGAAGAAAAGAGAATCATGAAACACAAAAAGGCCAGAATTTGCGCTGTCAGATCCATTTGTGACTAAAGAAATATCTCTCTGGACACATTTTTTTATTTTTAAACTCTCTGCTAATACAGAGAACAAAACATTGCTTTGGTTGTAAACCTGGCCAGTGGCCTTAAGAGTAAGGCCACATACAAGGAGTCCGCAAAAAATGTATACACTTTTTTTTCTGATAGCTCAATTGATGTTTCTTTTCAGATTTAACCCGTTGAATAATTAGTAATTATTTAAAGTATGTATACATTTTGGGGACACCCTATATATTGATACATATTGTTCAAAAACAAATCAATCCATAGTGGTAATGATGTAGAAATTCAGACAACCAAAATAAGTTAAGGATATGGAAATGACGAATTGCTAAGATGTTTTAAGCATTTGGGAATGGGACTGAATGTGTATCTTAATCATTTTGACAAGAAAACAATATGGTGTGGTGAATAGAGATTCTGTGTTAGATATTCTGAGTTGCTGCTATGTTTCTTCTTTGCTATGGAATATGTTATTCTGGATATATGACAAAACATAGTAGACAATGATTAGATATGTGAAGTTTGGAATCAACAGCACCTGTGTGTGAGTTAAAATTAAAAAAAAAAAAAAACTGGAAGAGGTTTTCTGTGCAGAATATGCATTCTGCTAATAAGGAAGAATTTTACTTCCTTCCTAATATAAATGCTTTTTACTTCTTTTCGTTGTCAAATAGTCTCTTTTGGAACCTTTAGTACCATGTTAACACAAATAGTGTCAGTAGACATCCCATCTTGTTCCTGATCTCAGTGGGGAAAGTATTCAGTGTTCCATTTTCATCATTCAGTATGATGTTTGCTCGCTGTGGGTTTTTCTTAGGTGCCTTCATCAGGCTGAGGAAGACCCCTTCTGGTCCTAGTTTATTGTTATTACTGTTTTTTTGTTTTGTTTTTTAATATATTTTATTGATTTTTCACAGAGAGGAAGGGAGAGAGATAGAGAGCTAGAAATATCAATGAGAGAGAAACATCGACCAGCTGCCTCCTGCACGCTCCCTACTAGGGACATGCCCGCAACCAATGTATATGCCCCTGACCGGAATGGAACCTGGGACCTTCCAGTCCGCAGACTGACGCTCTACCACTGAGCCAAACCGGTTTCAGCTTTGTTTTTATTATGAAAGGCGTTGGATTTTGGCAAATGATTTTTTTTTCTGTCTTTTGAAATAGCTATGTGTTTTTTATCTTTTGTTCTATTAATATGATGTTTATATTGATTGCTTTTATATTCAACCAATTTCACATCTCTGGAATAAAAAAACTTGACGATGATATATAATCTTTTCTATTTTTCTGGATTCAATCTTCTACAAATAGTTTACCAGTTTGTTTCTATAGTCATAAAGGATATTGGCCTAGAGTTTACCTTTCATGTGATGTCTTTGTCTGGTTTTAGCATCAGAATAATATTGGCCTCATAAAGTGAGTTGGGAAGTATTCCCTCCTCTTCTATTTTTTGAGAACAATTTATGAATTATTTGTTATATTTATTCTTTAAACTTTTAGTAGAATTCCCCAGTAAGGCCATCTGGGATTGGATTTTTTTTTTTTTCTTTCTGGAAATCCACTCCAATTTCTACGTGTGTCATGTCTATTCATATTTTTCAATCCAATCTCTACATGTTTCTGATCTATCAGATTTTTCCAATCCAACCTCTACATGTTTAGGTATATTCAGATTTTCTAGTTCTCCCTGAATCTGTATTGGTAGCTTCTGTGTTTCTAAGAATTTGTTCATTTAATCTAGGTTATCTAATTTATTGGCATACAATGGTCGCTAATCTTTATAATATTTGATTTCTATAAAGTCAATAGTAATGTCTCCTTTTTAATTCCTTATTTTAGTAATTTTCCTCCCCTCTCTTTTTATTCTTGGAATGTCTAGCTAAAGGTTTGTCAATTTTGTTGATATTTTCAAATAACTTTTTATTTTTCTATCATTTTTCTATTTTTTTCTTTCATTAGTCTTGCTCAATATTTATGCTCCTTGGTTCATGCTTTCTTTCTTTTCCTTAGGACACGAGTGGAATCATGAAATGGTGCGTATGGGTGACCAGGAGTTGTGTATTTATGAAGAAAGGTTTGTAGTCATGAGACTTGATTTGGTCATCAACCAGAATGAAAATTCTCCCAAAGCAAGAAAAGTTAGATGTAGTATTATTTAAAATTGCTAGGATTTAAGTGTCCCATATTTATTGAGAATGTACCAGATTCTATGGTAGTGAATTCAATGGTTGAAATTCACAATTATAGCCAGTAAGGATAATATGGAGAAGGGACTTCACTATCAACTCTTATTACCATATCCAATCCACTCTCTGTCCTTGCTCTGGTTTCTGTATTTCATAGATGCTTGTCCTTATCATATGCAGGGCCGCTTTGAGCTCCAAAATAGGTTATGGGACAGCACTTTACATTTACTTTGCTTAACAGGAATAGAGAAAGGTTCTCCTTAGAATTCCAAAAACAAAGCTTAGCCTTGTGGTTTGTGGCTTTGACCCTTGTGCGAATAATTAATATTGCTATTCACATACTTTAAAAGCTTAAGTAGGAAAGGGTAGCCTTTGTGTCTGAGGTCGCCAATTCATCTCGCAGCTTCAAGTTCTTTACAAATACATGAGAGTCTAACCATTTTTGCTCAGGACACAACTTTTTTTTTTTTTTTTTAATATATTTTATTGATTTTACACAGAGAGGAATTGAGAGGGACAGAGAGTTAGAAACATCGATGAAAGAGAATCATCGATCAGCTGCCTCTTGCACAACCCCCACTGGGGATGTGCCCGCAACCAAAGTACATGCCCTTGACCGGAATCGAACTTGAGACCTTTCAGTCCGCAGGCGGACGCTCTACCACTGAGCCAAACCGGTCCCGGCAGGAGACAACTTTTCTTTTGCCAAGTGTTTTTAACTTTTCCCAGAATACCTGACATCTTAAATGTTATTTGTGGGCCATACCACTGGAGTTCAGGCTTTGGACTGGGGCACAGGTTTCAAGGCTCTCCAAAAGGAGACCTGTATCCCAGTCAGGATCTGCAGCCTCACCACTGATCTGCCTGGAACCCACAACTGGGGCCTCTTTATGGGAGATGCATTGTTTTGTGGAAAATGACAAATATTACATATCATTTTAGAGGTAATAAAGGCTTTTCTTATACATTATTTTATCTATATAATTCCTATTCATTCCATGAGATACCACAGGAAAGGCTAATTATTATGTTTTTTAGAAGAACAAACTCTTACTTTGAGGTGAAGACTTTCCCAAGGTCACACAGAGGGCAACTGGGAAAGTAGACATGCACACATTTTTTTCTGGTTCCAGTAGCAGGGGACTTCCTTCTCCCCTCCTCAGGCTTCTCAGAGAAGCAGGTGCAAGTGCATTAATGGCATGAAAGGAGAGGAAGAAAGTGGTATTAGAAGGACAAGAAGGAATGAGATGTAGGATCAACATTTTTTTTTTTTTTTGGTCATCCCTAGGAGCGAGGTGTGGACATTGAAGAAGCCAAAAACTATTTCAAAAAAACTGAAGCATGGATTCCGTGCTCCAGATCTGAGTGGAATGTTGCACATGTTTAAAGGTGAGGAGAGGCAGGGCAGGAGTGTGGATCTAAGATGTTTATGGTGTTAGGGACTAAGTTGAGGTGTGGGTCAGGGTCTGATATAGTCTCATATGGGGATAGAAAGGAGGTGTTCAGAGAAGAAGGGATGTTGCTAATGGAGATGTGGTTAAGGGAGAATGGCTAGATTCTGGTTCGTTCTCTGAGCCTCACAGTCTTCTCCCCTTCCCCTATTCTAGAGACAAGCTATCAGTGTTTAATCATTTGCTTCTAATCAACATTATTAAATCTTTTATCATTTCAGAGCTCACACGTGTCCAGTGCTATTGGGGTAAGAAGTTACTGGGTCTTCAAATCACCGTGTTCTGATCCCCAGACAGAAGTTTGTGGTTTCAGTGAGATCTGATGATCTTACCTTACGTGTTTCCCTCACTTCCCAATACATGTATATAATACACTAGAGGCCCAGTTTATGAAATTTGTACATGGAAGAGGGGGTTTCCTCAGTCTAGCCTGCACCATCTCCAATTTGGGACCCATTGGAGGATGTCTGGCTGCTGGTTTAGGCCCGATCCCTCTCGCAATCTGGGACCACAAGCTCCTAACTGCTCACCTGTCTGCCTGCTTGATCGCTCCTAACTGCCTCTGCCTGCCTGCCTGCCTGATCACCCCCAAATGCCCTCCCTTGCTGATCTCGACCGCAACTGTCCTCCCCTGCATGCTTGGTTGCCCCCAATTGCCCTGCCCTGCTGGCCTGATCTTGTCCCCAGCTGCCCGCCTCTGCCAGCCAAATTGATTTTGATTGGTCGGTTTCTATGCCAGTCAATGACAAAAGCTCCACCACCTAGGCAGCCAATGGTTCCTCACACTTCACCCTGATTTGGTTCTGATTGGTCAGTTTCTATGCCAGTCAGCATCTCTGGGCCTATCAACAAGGCCTGATCAGAAAGGTGGGGCTGATCAGCAGGTGGAGGTCTGGAGAGAAATGGTGGCATGGATGCTGGCCAGACTGGGAGAGAAAGAGAGAGGCAAGTACTGATCAAAAGCTGCCATGGAGGCAATGGATCAGTCCTGCTTCTCTCTTCAGTCCTCTTGCTGGCCCTGATTCACAGCACCCTCAGCAGTCAGTGCTGGGGTACCGCACCTGCAGCGGAAGCAGACAGCGCTGGCTTCTGGTTTTTAAATATTAGGATTACTCCAGAGCTTTACCCCACTTGTCCAATCATCAATACAAGTTCTTCCTAGTTACCTTCCAAGTTCCCTCTCTAAGTCCCCAGATAAACCCTTCCCTGTAATCTAACTAATCTTATTTTTTTCTTTTTCTCTGCAGTGGACATGACATTTAATCCATTCAACTTAAATTTGAATCTCACCCTTTCAGAGGATCACAGACAGTTGGCATCTGTGCCAATTTGGCCTATGAAGTATTATAATTATGGTGTCTTGGGCTCCCAGTACTTCTCATCAGGAAAACACTACTGGGAAATAGATGTGTCCAAGAAGACTGCCTGGATCCTGGGGATATACTATAGAAAACGTTCCTGTAATAAAAAGTTTGGTGTTAGACGAGACACAATTTGTCAAAAGGCTTACTCCAGATTTAGACCTGAAAATGGCTACTGGGTTATAGGGTTACAGAATGAATCTGAGTACAATGCCTTTGAAGACTCTGCCACCTCTGATCCCAAGGTCTTGACTCTTTCCGTGGCTGTTCCTCCCCGCCGAGTTGGGGTATTCTTAGACTACGAAGCAAGCACTGTCTCATTTTTTAATGTCACAAACCATGGGTCACTCATCTACAAGTTCTCTAAATGTCACTTTTCCCAAACTGTTTATCCCTATTTCAATCCTTGGAACTGCCTAGTTCCGATGGCTCTGTGCCTACCGAGCTCCTGAATGTTCTCTGTCCCTCACCCACTTCTGTGTAGCAACCTTGTCCTGGGGCTCATCTCCTGCACCAGAGCTGATATCTACATTCCAAACCTTCTCTTGTCTCTTTTCTTTAGAACTTTTACTAGTTCTTGGGATTTGCAATTTTTTTCTGGATTAAGTTAGAAGAGAATCTTATTTACCCAGTTACCCTTTTATGTATTTTCAGTGTCAGATATATTATACCTCTTAAAGACAGATATATTATACCTCTTAAAGACATATTTCTCCATAATTTCCTTTATTGCTGATTTTGAGAGGTATGGAAAAACCTGTCTGCAACCACACATGACCTTAGGATAATCCATAATCCCACCCACTACCAAGAACAACTAAGGAGTATTTGAGTACATGTCTGTTTCCTAGCATACAGCAGTGTCATCAGTTGAGGGGAAAAACAAATGTCATAATGTACCCAGGGTAAAAATTTTATAAAACCCAGAGTGTTTTATTTTAAATCGCTTATCTGACATGGTGTGTAACAATGAATACTTTTTAAAATAAAACATAAATTGTGATTTTTAAACTGTACCCAACCCTTTAAGATTGTTGTATGAAACTGTCAATATAAAGTGCCTATTTAATTGTTCTGCACGATTTGATAAAATTTTCTCTCATGATCACAGAAATGTATAAGCTGTGTTAGTGTCCTGTGCAACAGAAGTGTGCCCTTCAGAGGGACAGAAAATGATTCTACTGAAGCTCATTTGTCAAGTGCCCAGAAGCTACTTGTTAAGATCACTCCAGTGCCAGTCTTGTGTTATAGAACTTACACCCAGGCTATGACTTTTTTGGTTGTTGTTAATCCTCACCTGAGGGAATATATACATATATATATATATTAGTTTTAGAAAGTGGAAGGAAAGTAGGGAGAAAAAAAGAGATATAAAAACATCCAGGTGAGAGAAACATATCAATTGGTTGCCTTCCACGTGTGCCCAGAGGGATAAAACCTGAAATCCAAGTATCCAAGTAAATGCCTTTTTGCTCTTGACTAGAAATCAAATTAGCCACCCATTGGTGCTCAGGCTGGAGCTCTAGCCACTGAGAACATTGGCCATGGCAAGGCTGGTACTATTTTATGACCTTTATTGGAAATTTTAAAAACTACAAAAATTTGAGTTTCCAAATCTATCCAGCAGAGGAACCCATGTCTAGGGACAGCCTTTTGGTATTCTGGGCTTTTCCTTGTGCTAAAACATCTGAGCATAGCACCCTATGTACCATCCAATTCACTTTTATTTTTCTTTTATAATCAGTTTCAAATTATGAGGAATAGACTCACTGAGGATAGTAAAGGAACAAACTTTCCTTAGAGCAACATCCTATATAATAAAACGCTAATATGCAAATTGACCAATCAGTGGACCGATCAGCAGAACATCCTGGTTGCTATGATGCATATTGACCACCAGGAGGCAGAGGATCACAGGAGATGCCCTTAGTTGGGGGTAGCTCCTGCATTGAGCTTCTACCCCCCCCCCCCTCCCCAAGAGGGAGGTGACTGGCAGCAGTGATGGGGGGGGGAGGGTTGTGAGGGAAGGGCCAGCCAAGGTGGTGACACTGCCTTCGCCCTACCCACCAGTCGCCTCACAAATGTTCCTGATCACTGGCCAGGCCTAGGGACCCTACCCTATATATAGGGAACAGGCTCTTAGATTTAAAAATTAAAACCTGGCAAGGCTACTCTAACACTGAAAAAACAGGATTATGCAGTGATTACAACATGAACTCTAGCTTGCACATTTTATGGTCAACCCTGATTCTGACACTGTGTGACAAAGCCAATTACTTCTCTCTGCTTCAGTTTCTCCACCCACAAGATGTGGAAAATGGTACTACTGCCCCAGAAGGATCGTGTTATGTACTACTTTTTATAATCAGGGAAAAAACAAAAACAAAATGTAGCTGGCCATACAACAGCAAGATGCTTCTCACCTGTATGAAAAGTATGGTTACTGGTGCATGCAGTGTCCCAGATTGCGAGAGGGATGTCCAACTGCCAGTTTAGGCCCGACATCCTTTAAGGGTTCCCAAATTGCGAGAGGATGCAGGCTAGGCTAAGGGACTTCCTCACCTCCCATGAATGAATTTTGTGCACCATGCCTCTTATACATTATAAATTAGGGCAGCTAATGCACAGAATTCAAATCAAGACATAAAGGGGGCACCAAAACCGGTTTTGCTCAGTGGATAGAGCATCGGCCTGCGGACTGAGAGGTCCCAGGTTTGATTCTGGTCAAGGGCATGTACCTTGGTTGTGGGCATATCCCCAGAGGGGGTGTGCAGAAGGCAGCTGATTGATGTGTCTCTCTCTCTGATGTTTCTGGTTCTCTATCCCTCTCCCTTCCTCTCTGTAAAAAAAAAAAAAAAAAAATATATATATATATATATATATATATATATATATATATATATATATATATAATCTCCCACATTTCTCAAAAAAAGAGAGTACTTGGCCTGGGAAAAGTATGTACATGCACTTACACACACACACACACACATATATAGAGAGAGGATGCATATCTTTATCCAAGTTAATTTTCAAAAATATCATAAAAGGAAGAGTGCATCAGCCTGTGAACTGAAGGGTTCCAGGTTTGATTCCAGCCAATGGCACATGCCTGAAATATGGACTCAGTCCCCAGTAAGGGGTGTGCAAAGGGCAGCAAATCAATAATTCTCATCATTGATGTTTCTCTTTCCCTCTATCTTTTTCTCTAAAATCAATAAAATATATATTTTTAAAAATAAATTACGTATGGAGTTGAAGGAATTTATAAACTTATGAGGTATATCCCAATGTTTCATGGCTAATGAGTGGAGGAGACAAGATTACAACGGATTGGGTCAGTGTTTCTCTAGCTCAGGTGCCCTTTCTGTAGTTCATTTCCAAGGAAAACATAGCAGCCAAATTACCTAGGTTGTGGGTAGCAGGGCAAACCCATGAGATGTTGATTTACACAAGGAACCTGAAGCATGATGGGAAAATGTGAGGTGCCAAGATA